AGAGGGGTTTTGAGGGGACACCAGGCTCGGGCTTGGGGGGGATTTTGGGGGGACATCGGACGCAGGCTTGGGGGGATTTCGGTTTTGGGAGGACACCGGGCTCGGGCTTGGGGGGCTTTGGGGGGACACCAGGCTTGGGTTTGGGGGGTTTTGGGGGGACACCGTGCTCAGGTTTGGGGGGGATTTTGGTTGTGGGGGGACACCAGGCTCAGGCTGGGAGGGGTTTTAAGGGGACACTGGGCTCGGGCTAGGGGGGATTTTGGTTGTGGGGGGACACCGGGCTCGGGGGGGTTTTGGTTTTGGGGGGACACCAGGAGCCCCCCCGGGACCCACCGGCTGGTTGAGGTGGTGGCCCACGGAGTCGGCCAAGGTGCCGATGGCGTCGTAGAGGATGAGCAGGTTCTTGTGCTGGTACTTCCCAAAAGCAAAGACCAGCGTGTCCAGGATGAAGCTCAGGTAGGGCACCAGCTCCGTGCAGGCCTCCTCCTCCAGCGTGGCGAACGCACTGGGGGGGAGCCCAAAAACACGTCAGGGACCCCAAAATTATGAGGAGACCCCAAAAAACGGCGTCAGGGACCCCCTGAATGCCCCCCAGAAGCGGGGGTGCCCCCCCCGGGGTCAGGCAGTACGAATCTCGCCGTCGTCACGGAGTCGGTGACAGAGGTGTCATCACCCCCCGGGGGGGCCCAAACCCGCCCTCAGGTCCCCCGTGTCACCTGTCACCCCCCTGCCCTCCCACATGTTCCCCCAATGCCCCCAGTGTCACCTCCAGGCCACCTCCTGCCCTCCCAGTGCCCCCAGTGTCCCCAGTGTCACCTGTCACCCCCCCTTGCCCTCTCCCCTGCCCTCACAGTGCCCCCAGTGTCACCTGCAGGCCGCTTCCTGCCCTCCCAGTGCCCCCAGTGGCCCCAGTGCCCCCGGTGTCACCTGCAGGCCGCTTCCTGCCCTCCCAGTGCCCCCAGTGACACCTGCAGGTCGCCTCCTGCCCTCCCAGTGCTCCCAGTGCCACTTGTCACCCTCCCTGCCCTCCCAGTGCCCCCAGTGTCACCTGTCACCCCCCCTTTCCTCCCACATGTTCCTCCCCTGTCCCAGTGCTCCCAGTGCCCCCAGTGTCACCTGGAGGTTCCAGGTTCCCCCCAGCCCTCCCAGTGTCCCCAGTGTCTCCAGTGTCACCTGTCACCCCCCCTGGCCCTCTCCCCTGCCCTCCCACTGTCCCCAGTGCCACCTCCCCTGACCTCCCAGTGCCCCCAGTGTCATCTGGAAGTTCCAGGTTCCCCCCTGCCCTCCCACGTGTCCCCAGCATCACCTGGAGGTTCCAGATTCCCCCCTGCCCTCCCAGTGCTCCCAGTGCCCCCAGCGTCACCTGCAGGCCGCCTCCTGCCCTCCCAGTGCCCCCAGTGTCCCCAGTGACCCCAGTATCACCTGCAGGCCGCCTCCTGGACGCGTTTGTTGCTGTCGAGGATGCGCTGGAGCAGCTCGGTCATGAGGGGCTTCAGGTAGAGCTCGGGGGGCTGAGCCACCACCCAGTGAGCGTAACGGCTCAGGGTCCAGCAGGCGATGGACCGCACCAGGGCCTTCCTGTCCGCCAGGCACCGGATCAGGTGCGGCACCAG